TTTACGAAGCGACACTTAATTTCCAAGATAATTCAAAAGATAACGGTAAGACAGATCGGGTTGTCGCCCTAGATAATCAGACAGATCCAATACCCTCGGATCTTCAAACTTTGGGCCTAATGAAAATTGTTAATTTCCCAGCTTCATTAGCCCAATCTGGGTGCTTTGGCCATTTTCCTTCTTTTAACTATACTCCTCCTTCAGTCGGTCAACATAGTTTAGATAATGGTCATGCCTGCTCCTCTTTAAAGAGACGCCGCTTACAGTGCTCTCCCCTAGTGAACTCACAAATTCGATCCCAATAACCACCCTGTTGAAAGCCCCTGAAATAAGTCGACCTCCCCCCATCATCGTATCCACCACCAACACAGATAAACCAACTCAGATCCCTCAACCCAGCGCCAGCCAAAACATCAATGTATAAAACTATGAATTAACCGACCTAGTGGTAGAATCAACATAAATTGAAGCGACAACAACAGTGGGTTCCCTAATTGGGTTTGAGATTGAACCTAATAATCGTATCCTAATTGAAATTCTTGGAGTATCATGTGAGCACAATGTTCGCCAATGAATTTCCTTTCTCTAAATATTAATGGTATTGGGGGAGAGCATAAGGTGGCATGGATCAGACGACTTAAAAGAAAGCATATGCTATCATTTATTGCAATCCAAGAAACACAACTCCTAGACGCTGAGATTATTGATGCAAGGGATTTTTGGGGCTCTACTGATTTTGGTGTCAGTCGCACCAGCTCTTACGGAAGGTCTGGAGGTTTACTAAGTCTATGGGATAATAAGATGTTCACTTCTACTGATGTTATATCCTCTCGCAATTATCTTATCAGTATTGGCACTTGGGAAGGCATTTCAAGACCAGTAATTATTGCTAATATTTATGGACCACAACTGATACGTGAAAAGGCATTGTTATGGGAAGAATTGAAAGGGATCATACAAGCTATCGATGGGGTGTGGATCATGATAGGGGACTTTAATGTAGTAAGGAGACCTGAGGAGAGATTTAATTCAATTTTCTGCTATCGTACAGCTAGAGACTTCAACAAGTTCATACTAGAGGTGGGTTTCACAGATCTTAAAATGGGTGGGTTCAGATATACATGCTTTTGGAATGAAGACATAAAACTGAGCAAACTAGATCGCTTCCTAATCAGTCCAAGATTTCTTGATATTGCTCCCAAAACCTTTATCACCACGTTACCACGAGAACTCTCTGACCACTGTCCCATACTACTCTCTACCACCAAACCGGACTTCAGCCCCCCACCATTCAGGCTCTTCAATTCTTGGTTACTGAGAGAGGGTTTTGAGAAGACTTTCATAACCAGCTGGAATAATTTTATTGGGTTCGAAACCCCGGACCAGTACATGGCGGCAAAACTAAGACACGTCAAAGAAGCCTTAAAAATATGGAGAGCAACAGAACACCCCATAGAAGAGGCTACTTTAATTAAACTCAAAATGGAGATAGAACGATTGGATCATGAAGCTGAATCCAGGGCACTCAACATAGAAGAAGCGACGAGGCGAAGGGATAGTTTCAAAAAAATCGCAGAACTCGAAAAACTCAGAGCGTTAGACATAAAGCAAAAGTCCCGGGTCAAATGGGCTGTAGACGGGGATGAAAAAACTCGATTCTTTCACGGCCATGTTAACAATAATAATTTGAAAAACGGGATCGATGGACTCATGATCAACGGGTCGTGGTGCACTGACCCGACGATGATAAAACTGGAGACCTTCAAATGTTTTGCCAATAAGTTTAAAGAAAAATGTCTTTCCAGACTGAAACTAAGCAATAGCCACTTTAATAAGATCACCCCAGCTGATTGCCAGATGCTAGAAGCGCCAATCTCACTGGAGGAAATTAAGGAGGCAGTGTGGGCTTGCGGAAACGAGAAAGCCCCTGGACCCGACGGATACACATTTAAATTCATAAAAAAAATACTAGGGTGTACTGCTGGGAGACATTGCTGCTGTGGTCAAACATTTTGAGCACTATGGGAAACTGGACAAATCGTGTAACTCTTCATTCATATCCCTGATCCCCAAAATCAAAGACTCCATCATGTTAAGTAATTTTAGACCCATCAGTCTAATAGGATCATTATACAAGATCATTGCTAAGATCCTTGCACAAAGAATAAAGAAGCTTTTGGGGAAGTGCATAGATGAAGTTCAATCTGCATATGTCGAAGGCAGGAACATTCTTGATGGACCGTTGATAGTAAATGAACTATGTACATGCGCAAAAAAGTCAAAAAATAAGGTCTTGCTTTTCAAAGTTGACTTCGATAAAGCATTTGACTCCATAAATTGGGGATTTCTCGACTCAAACCTAAAAACCATGGGATTTGGAGACAAATGGAGGGCATGGATCAAGGGCTGTCTTGAATCTGCCAAATCATCGGTCTTGGTTAACTGGAGCCCGACTAAGGAAGGGGTGAGGCAGGGGGAACCTCTATCACCGTTCCTCTTCATCATAGCCATGGAGTGATTAAGTGCAGCCATGCGGGCTGCATGTCAAACTGGAGTCTTCCAGGGTTTAACACTACCAAACAGTGGACCAACGATCTCCCACTTACTATACGCAGACGATGCACTGTTTTTCGGAGAATGGTCGAAAAAAAACATAAAAAACCTTGCCAGGGTCCTACACTGTTGTCATGCCTCCTCTGGTCTCAAGGTAAACTTTGATAAATCAAAGGTTTTTTAGCATTGGCGCTGATATGCATGAAGTCTCAATATGGTCCACAACTCTTGGTTGCAAACCATCCTCTCTCCCATTCACTTACCTTGGTGTTCTGGTCAGGGCGAACATGAATTTATTAAAAATTGGAAACCGATGATCGAGAGATTTCATAAAAAACTGTCCATATCAAAATGCAAAACCTTGTCGTTTGGTGGTATACTAACGCTTGTTCAGTCGGTTCTGGGTAAGTTACCAACTTATTATCTCTCGATATTTGTGGCTCCCGAGGGGGTGATTGAGACGTTTGAACGAATTCGTAGGAAGTTTTTATGGGGTAGTACAGATGAAAAAAGAAGCATACACTAGGTATCCTGGGACAAAGTCACCGCATCCAAAGACATTGGCGCGATTGGTGTTGGTACGATAAAATCTCTAAACTGCTCCCTTATTATGAAGTGGTGGTAGAGACTACGATCTGAGCCTACATCCTTTTGGGCCAAAGCCATACATAGCATGCATAATTTGTACAACAAACCAGACCACTGTTATGCAAGCAAATACATACCAGGTGTGTGGAAAAACATCATGAGTATCGGAAAATACCTTCAAAATAAAGGTATCCCAACTGAAACAGTGTTATACAAATAATCAGGTCCAGGTGGTGAAACATGGAAATGTAATCTCACTGTTAATGGATCATTCATAGTAAAAGTCCTCCGGAAAAAACTAAACTTCAACCCCACACTAAACCTGGATCAGTTTACATGGCTGGGGGAGATCCCAATTAAAATTAATTGTTTCACTTGGAGGGCTAAAATGGGCAAAATAACTTCAACCTTGGGCCTTTTATCCAGAGTGGTAGATGTGGAAAAAAAATTATGTAGTCACTGTGAAGAAGTAGTGGAATGCGCAGACCATGCATTGGTGGGGTGTAAATATGCGAACACGATTATACAACGGGTGTTAAAATGGTGCAGAGTTCCTCTTGTAGAACTTAAAACAGTACATGAGGTGATCACATACGCTCAAGCATGGTCCAACTGCCCCAAAAAAAGAAGGTTGCTAATGGGAATTTGTTACGACATGCTCTGGAACATTTGGAAAGTAAGGAACAACATAATGTTCAATAAAAACCGGCTTCCTGCTCTCATTTGTGTATACATGATCAAATCCACTACATACCTATGGATAAAAAACAGAGGGAAAAACAGGAGTATTGATTGGTTAGCATGGTGTAGATCTCTGTTTCTTTGTGTGTAATCTGTAATCTTAACATTTGTACATTGTTATTTCCCCTCCTCTAATCACTTGCTAGAGGTTGGTCTTATTAATATATTTGTCGGTTCTAAAAAAAAAAACAAATTTGTTTAATGAAGAACTAGGAACCTTGTAATTTCAACGTGTTTAACTCAACATATCACATATATCTACTCTAATAAATGAATGTTTTATTTTTTGCCACGTGACATCTTCTCATTCATTTGGACACATACTATTTTCTAAAACTTTTTAATTTTCTATTTTCCACTTGTCATTTCATTGTATATTTTTTTATTAAATTAAAATTTCACTTTTAATATGTAAGGTAATATATATATATATATATATATATATATATATATATATATATATATATATATATATATATATATATATATATATATATATAAGGTATTTATTACAAATGGTTTATATGTGTAATGTATTCAAAACATTAAAGTCTCATTAATTTTAATAATTCAAAAAATTTCTCATTTTTCTTATAAATTCAAAAATTTCAAATTGTTAAAATCTTATATTTAATTTTTTTTTAATAAACCATTTAATACATGGTTCCCACACCTAGTTGATATATATATATATATATATATATATATATATATATATATATATATATATATATATATATATATATATATTTCAAGTACCTTAAACTTACCATATCTAACATAAACATATTATACAAATTCAATTTAAAAGTACTTTATAAACATAAAATCATACCGAACAAGAGAGTTTTTCCAATTATATAACTAGAAAAATGATAAGAGTTTTCTTAACTTTGTAACTACAAAAATAAAAATAAGGGTTTTAAGAGATTCTATATTTGCAGATGAACCAAAGAAATCACATATGGTCTTTAAACAACTACTACAATTTTAGTGATTTTTGTTTAATTTCTACTAACTAATTTTTTATTTTTATTTTTGCTAAATTATCAAATTTCCCTGTATAAATTAAATGCGTGGGCACTTGCGTCTATCTATCGTCATCTCCCGTCCTAGTTTGACTTTAATTACACAACATGGAGACCCTACCAACTCAAATCCCCACTTCACAGTCCCTATATAAAGTAATCTGCCAGGAGTGGCTCTCTTCAATCAATCCATAGAAGAAGATCGAAGTTCGAAAATGACAGGAGTTCGAAGAATCAAACTGGGTTCACAGGGTTTAGAGGTATCCGCTCTGGGTTTGGGTTGTATGGGCATGTCCGCTTTCTATGGAGACCCCAAACCTGAACCTGACATGATCAAGCTCATCCACCACGCCATTAACGCCGGCGTTACCTTTCTCGACACCTCCGACATCTACGGCCCTCAAACCAACGAGATCCTTATCGGCAAGGTAACAACCATTCTTCAACTACTATACAAGCTTATATGTTATATCTTACTTTGATCAATTGTCCTGCGATTAGCTTTAAGATGTTAGAGAACAGGGGCCTTTTGACTCTTTTCATGTTTCGAATTAGTCAACTTACTGTTCTTATGTATCGTTTCTTGGTAACTACAGGCTTTGAAGGGAGGGACGAGGGAGAAAGTGGAGCTCGCAACCAAATTTGGTATTAAATACGATAGTGCTGCGATGGAGGTGTGTGGAGATCCGGCGTATGTAAAGTATGCTTGTGAAGCTAGCTTGAAGAGACTCGGTGTCGATTGTATCGATCTGTATTATCAGCACAGAATCGACAAGCGTGTGCCTATCGAAATCACAGTTGGTTTCCACCTCTTGACAGAATCGTTCTCTTTCAGTCGTTAAATTCATCATCCATTCATATTCATCTCCTCAAATCTTTCTTTTTCTATTCTTAGATGGGAGCGATGAAGGAGCTTGTGGAAGAAGGGAAGATCAAATACGTTGGATTATCAGAAGCATCCGCATCAACCATCAGAAGAGCTCATGCTGTGCACCCAATAACAGCCATACAACTGGAATGGTCGTTGTGGTCAAGAGATGTTGAAGAAGATATTATTCCTACTTGCAGGTTAATTAGCTTCCTTTTTCTATCCATTTTCTAATTCATCAATAACCATGAATCCAAAATCCAAACTTTAAGCTCTGTATATCATACTTTATCAGAGAACTTGGGATTGGGATTGTTGCATACAGTCCTCTTGGACGTGGGTTCTTCTCATCTGGCCCAAAGATGCTCGAGAACTTGGATGCTAGTGACTTCCGTAAGGTCTGTTAATTAGTTACCCTTTTTCGTTATATTCTCCATTACGTACTTCATGTTTTAACACTTTCTTTTTTTAGTACATGCCGAGGTTCCAAGCTGAAAATCTTGAACACAACACGAAAATGTTCGAGAGGGTGAATGAGATGGCGACAAAGAAGGGGTGCACGCCATCGCAGCTATCATTGGCTTGGGTTCACCACCAGGGGAATGATGTGGTGCCAATTCCAGGAACTACAAAGATTGAGAATCTTGAACAGAACATTGGAGCTTTATCTGTGAAACTAACACCAGAAGACATGGCTGAACTTGAAGCTATTGCTTCAGCTGATTCGGTGAAGGGGGACAGATATGGTGCTGGTATTTCAACATATCAGGATTCCGACACTCCTCCATTGTCATCTTGGAAAGCTTAATGGATGATGCAAATCTGTTGTATGTGGTTTGACATTGCTTGTTTTCGTTTAACGACACACCCTGTTTCGTGTTCTATTATTTGGTTAAACTCGATCAGGCGTGTAGATGTAAGCATTTGAGTTTTGAGTACAATAAATGAAGGCGGTTTCCTGTTTTGAGTTTTGAGCATGTATTTTGGTTTCGGGTTTTTTGGTCCACTTTACGATTGCTCCCTTGATGTTAATTAAACACTTTCGAAAGGGAGACAAACCTTTTTCACGTTGCATTCATTTCATTCGATTTTTTAGATAATTTAGATGCATTTTACACGAGCTAACTTTGTGATTCTTTCTGAACCTAATTATTTTGAAACGAAAATTGAAAAATCGGAAACAAATTTATCATATACTACGTAATGTAAAACTTTTGATTGTGTATATCAAGCCGTACTAGTAATTTTCCTTTCATGGAAATCATGTGTGAATTCAAATATTATGAATATATTTGGAAGGAAAGTTTTATTTTTGATGTAGACAAATAGAAAGGATATTGTTAGACAATGCATAGTCTAATATATATAGGAGTTTAATAAGGTGGTGGGAAATTCAATAGATTAAACTCTATTATTATGTTAACATTCAATAAATATGGAATTGAACTCTTTAATGTGATAAATGAAAGCTTTTAATTATTAAAAACAGTATTGGGCTAAAAGTACTTGAGCTTAGGCTTTTGTCCTAAAGCGCACGAAGCGTTTGGATCTTTAAATATCTAACCAAATATAAGCTACCAGTTAGTTTTATGCCTAAAGTGTTTCCTCTTCATTCCATACATAAATACACACACATACTCTTTACTCTCTCACCTTCATCTTTTCTTTATGCTTCTTTCTCATTCTTTAGACTCTCATTTAGGGTTTATATAATTATATGTTATACACCTTTAGGTTCTTATTCTTGATCCGGTATTTGTTGATTACTCCAAATTTATTGAGTGTGAGATCGACTTGTTATATGTGTAATTGTTTTGTAGATTCTGAAATTTGTTTAGTTGGTAAATAAAGGTTTCTTGAATTTTTACTTGGTGTCAGAGCCACACGAACCGGTTTGTTTGCTCGTTAGATTGTTTTCAATCAAATGTCTAATTATAAACCTTATATCTTGTGTGTAGGAAGTAGTGAGAAATTTTTGGTCATCGGAATTTTTTTTAGGAAACATTACCTTATGTTTTTTAAGGTAAAAATGGAGTATTTTTTTTGAAATTCTTGAATTGTGAATCCCATTTTGTTATTGAAATTTCATAAACAAATTGTCTAAGATTTCGATCCGGCAATCCATTGCAAAAATTTGATCCAAAATTTACATTAATTATTATAGAAAAAACACATTTGGTGGTGACATGAATTGGTCCAAAATGATTTCCATAAAATTTGGTCAATTTTCAAAAACCTTATTTTCAATTTTTTATATTAAATCAAAAATATAATTATTTTATTAATATCCCTTTTCAAAAATAATATATATAGTTTTTATTACACAAAGATAAAGTTAATATATATACTAAAAGAATAAATAACTATTCCATCATGAACTTAATTACAATAACTAAAAAAACCTTAAATTTTGTGACATGAACTTACAATAACTAAAAAAACCCTTAAATTTTGTATTTAACATTCAACAATCCTAACACTATTTAAAAAATTGTACGAGACCTCATTACCTTAAGCAGTTAATCTTTATAAGACAATTTGTTATGCTATGATCTTGTTGGCTTCTAAAACTCATTCAACTTCTCTTTCCCTTTTGTTGTTCTCGAACTTTCTTTATCTTCTCCTGTAAAACAATGTTGTTTTCGATCCATATAAATGCTAAACTCAAATATAAACATTATTTGATAAGCTTTCTGTATTTGTAGGTGATTGTGAGTTCTGCGTTGATCATACCAGATGTAACTATTCCTTCATCGTCACCAATGTTATGATTGATCATAGAAGTCATCATATCACCATCATCATACGTCTGAAAAACATTGGTGTCCAATGAATTTTCATGCTTGCGTTTTCTTTTCTCGATTTCCTTGAGCTTGCGTACAGCCTCTTCCCGGAGAGTAGCGGGATCAGTAGAACATTGGTATCCCATGAATCGCAGGAAACCCGCAATCCTTCTCTTGCAGTTTATTTCTTTCTCATCATCGCTTTTCTTTCTTTCAATACAATCCCTAGTGTTGTTCGTTGTCATTGTAGGTTGATTATTAATTTATGTGGCATGTGTTCGGTAGCCGATGTTTATAATACTTGGGAAGATGGAATATATGGTATGATTTTGTTGATAATTTAAAATTATAGAAGATTTCTGAATCCTTTCATTATTTAGATTTCCGGTTTCTCGTTTCTATATGATTAGTGTTTCATTTTGTTAGATTTTGCCTTCAATTTCTTAAAACAACCGACCAATACAGCTTAGGCCATCCCAAGTACCACCATTAACCATATGATGGGTAACACCCATAAAATACCACTAAAACATGCCACCTTATATTTTTTTAATTAAATTTAAATAGAAAATATAAGAAAAACATAGATTGTTTTCATTAGAAAAAAAAAAAACTTTACATTAATTTAAATAAAAACGACAATTGAAAATTAAATGCAAGAAAACATAAAAAATTCGAACACAAAAAACTACCCTAAACCTAGTTTTTTTTTAAACTAGTCTTTATATTTTGGGAAATTCTTTAACTTTAGCCAAATTTTGAGATGTGGAACACGATTGTAGGTTGTGTATTCATATTGATCCATGGCCACTTCGAACATATTTAGTCGAGGTTTCGACTTGCATAACTCATTAAACCATAGAAAATGCTTCGAACTTTTCCCCCAAAACAACTAAATATTTGATTATCTCCTTCTTCGGAAACCAACACCCATGGTTGCACTAACTTCTCTTCTTCCTCTTCTAACCAATTCATCCTTTTGGGATCTATGATTTTTGAATTTTAAAACAATACAAATGTGTTAATGTGAATAAAATGAGAGAATAATTGTATGCAAAATAAGGTGGTATGTAGTGATATTTATATATGTAAAAATTTATTTTAAGAATATATATATATATATATATATATATATATATATATATATATATATATATATATATATATATATATATATATATATATATATATATATATATTACAAAACTAGTTGTTCAATAATCCCCTTTCAAATCAAACGCCAAACGAATTTGATTGGATGTGGTGTGTGGTCGTCTCTACCACAATACACAATGACCACAAGCCAAAAGTGACACCTGGGGTGATGTTTATTGTCCTAGTCCGTTGTGTGACACCAAAGAAAATTAGGTCAACTTTAGTCAAACAATATCACTCTGATCACTATTGTAATACACCATATGAGTTCTAATCAAATAATTTTGATGTTTGTAAAGTTTTATACATGGAATTACAGCCAGTTTATTAGTTAAGTAGGGGTGTGTATGGGGCGGTTTGATTCGGTTATTGGTCAAAACCGAACCATAACCATTATGATTGGTTAATTCATTTTGGTAACCATTGGGTATGGTTAATATTGATTATGGTTAATGGTTTTTGTCGGTTAACGGTTTTGGTTAATGGTTAATATTGGTTATCCATAATGTTCAAAATAATATAAATGGCAAAAGTATAGTGGCATAAAAAATGAAAAGAGAATACAAAAAGTCCTCGATACCAATGTTTGTAACCTAGATTATAGTAATATAATAAAATGTGTATCTTTAATACTTAGAGTGAGATAACACATAGTCACATTCAGAATCAAAAACATTTAACAAAAAGTATAAAACAATTAAAAAAAATTGACATTGATCACTTCATATATTGATAATTGATATTAACATTAAAATAAAGCCAAACATTCATACACGTTCAATGCAATTAAATCAAAAACTATAAAATAAAATAGCTAAACATTTATATTACGTGTTATATGGATAAAAACCAATCACTCATATACATTCAATGTGATTAAGTCAAAAACAGTAAATAAAAAAATACATTCTTAATATATCACAAAGTGAAGAAGAACCAAAAACTTAACTTACCTACAAATTTTGATTATAAATTAAAAAAATCATTCGAATAGAAATATAAGTCAAAACAATCTTTGATTAGGATTAACGGCGTGAGAAGTCTCCGATTAGGATTATGAGTGTGAAGATTAAACTAATTGTGAATAATGTTTACAAATTATAGAATTAGTTGATTAGGAATGACAACATTAATCAATAATCTAACTCAATGCATGATTGGAAAATTGTGTGTGTCTGCATGATCTGCGTGATCATCCTTTGATGGTTTGATTGCACGTTCGTCTCCTGATAAGTGAGGATTAATGAATTATACTTTGAAATTTTAATGGGTCTTAAATAAGTTTGACTATATTATTTTATATATAATCCATAATTTTATTAAAATATAAAGTTAGCGGTTCGGTTAATAATGATTCGGTTAACCTATAAAACCATAACCGAACCGTTTGTTATCGGTTAACAAAAATTAGAAACCGAATCAACGGTTTTTAAAATGGTTCGGTTATATCGGTTAATTTGGTCATGGTTCGGTTTTTCGGTTATTATGCTCACCCCTATAGTTAAGTATTCAAATGAAACGAATCATTGCCAAACAAAAAAATTTAGTATACATACGTAATGTGTTAGTACATATGATTGAAAGAGATATATGTAATAAAAAATTTTATGCACAAATAATACACTCAACAAATAGTACATGTAATTATGAAATTGAAGACATAAAGAACGTCGAAAACGGAGTTTGCATATAACAGATTTGTCAATCCATAGAAAATAGACAATTGAACAACAACACACAACCTATTGTCGTAAAAATAAAACTTAATACGAGTTCTACTATGTCTTAGAGAACAAATTTTCAATTTCTGACAATTCTCTATAAAAACTAACTAAATTTAGAAATTTATAACGTTCCTAACTTTTTTTTTGCCTAGAAAAGTCATACACTGTTGTGGGTAAGATCAAACAACACAAGATTGGTATTTTTCACTAAAAGACCTTCGGACGATTTATTAGGTTAGTCGTAAGATTCGTCATGAAAAATTGTTTGTATATTACGAACCAGGTTTTGATGTAGTCTTTGATTCAAAACCCAACTTTTCCATTTCACGAAATATAAACCCTTTCACAAAGTGAAAAAACATAACTATAAATGGATTTCTACGAAAAACCAACTTTCAACTAGTTTGTTATGATAGCTGTGCAACAAATCTTGAATTAAT